TTGTACATCCTCCTCGTCGTTGTAATTCCACCGACTCTGATGATATGCAAGCGAAAATAGCTGCAAAAATGAAGGTTTTTTTTTAAGATTCGAAAATGGATATTTTGAGAAACGCCGGGAATCAGAGATGATACAGCAGCCAAAAGCATACATACAGGTGGTAATGGATAAACTCCAGTTAATGCCGAATTCTGCCGGAATATGTCATTGGGTCGTGGGCCCAACATCAAGAACAGATCAATGAGGCCCGACTCCGACATGAAATGTACATCAATTTGCGGCACCTCCGTCGAGCTTTTGATTTTCTCAACAATCGATCGCAAAATACCCTGCAATAATATTAATGGGAAATCAATTTAAACAAACAAACTCCCACCTCGTCCCGCTGCCCACAGACATGAGGAATGGAGCGCGGCAAAAACCCCCTTCTTCGCCTCCCCCTCTTTCTCCACCTCTGTGCCTTCTATTCTTTCTTAGCTTCTCTCCCAAAGCAAATTTCTCCGTCCTCTCTCTCTCTTCAGCACAGATTATTAGAGAAATCGAATGACCAAAAGTTACAGGGAAATGTGACCTTATCAGCGGTTGAGGAAGCAATATCAACCCAAGTTTCTGCTGCATTCAGCCAAAGCATGCCCAACGAATGCTCCTTGTTGTGGGTGACCAGAAACGGAACAGCACCATACAGCGACATTGGCTCATTCAGCTCGTATTCAAATACATCCAAATTGTACAGGCGATAAGGATCCGTATTTCTGCAGACTTTACACATTACTACTCATAATCAATAATGCTTCCTACTTTTACTAACATACACTTTCTACTTTTACTGGTATATCTTATAAAATTGATTCAAATTTAATTTACACCAATTATAATTAACACAGTCGTCGCAAAGACGAGATCCAATTGTGGTAATGGTAAGAAATACATACGGCTTAATGAACCGAAACATTTCTTACCATTATAATAAATTTATTAAAATAATTTCTTAATACTTTTTTTCTCTCTTTCACTCTTCTTCCTATTTCAAAATATCTTTCTATTACTTCTGAAGCACGTCAACAGCTTTTAAGCCTTTTTCAAAATAAACAACACATACGCAGTGGATCGGAGTGCGAAGCTATC